ATTATAGTATTTGGCTTTATCTTCTCGAGCTGATCTTTGAAATTTCCTGTTCAGCTCTTGCACCTCTTCAATTTTTCCATTTGCTTTGGCTTCTCTACATTGGAGAGCAAGTTTCAGAGTCTCTTCTGACATCCATCTTCATCTTTTCCTTCTTTCTTGTCTTCTTAATGACTTTTTGCTCTCTTCATTATTAGCACATAGTAGCCAGAATACTCCTGCTAATTATAGTAGTGATCAATACTAGTGATGAGCCTCTTTATAATCTGGCACCATGTAGCACAGGTAAACATCATACTTTGGAAAGCCATTCTGTTCCCCTTTCTGTTTGCTTTCTCACCCACTCACTGATGAAGATTACAGTGAAGCCACACCAGCTAATAATTTACTGTCAGAAGACTGACTTGAAAACTCAGTATTAATGTCTTAAATGAAAACTGAGACTTTATTGCCAGTAAAATATTTTGACCTTGATTCTGAGTATATTCAATCAACTACAAATCTTTGTGTTTACAACTTAGTCATCAGTTTACCTGCTTTCTCCTTTGAAAAATTCTAGAAACCTATTGAAATCAATAGGCTATTCCCAAGTTGCATTTTTTTAAAGTTATTTTTGGTTTTGTCTAAAAAAATGTGGGAACCCTGGAGACCCTGTGGGATACTCTAACAATAAAGTAGGCAGTTCCAACTGCAAGTCACTCCTTGGGAGAAAGATGAGGCTTTCTGTTCCCATAAAGATTTACAGCCTCTAAACAATATACAGGGTTGCTATGATAGGAGTCGACTTAAAGGCAGTAGATTAATGCTTAAGAAGGTTGTTGTTGTTGTTATGTGCCATGGAGTCTATTCCAGCTCATAGTGACCCTGTACAGGGTTTCTGAGGCTGTAAATCTTTACGGAAGCAGAATACCTCATCTTTCTCCTGTGGAACAGCTGGTAGTTTCGAACTGCTGACCTTGCGGTTTGTAGCCCGATGGAATGAAAGTTTTCATTTGGCTCCATTTAAACACAAATGTGTATTTTACTTAGAAAAAGGCAAACTCATTGATTCACTAAGCCTCATAGCTATCATGAGGTATATTTTCACAAGAGGTACATACTCTTCTTTTACCAGATTGCAGCAGGAGAGAAGATTCCCTTGAGCCAGGAAGAAATAACTCTGCAGGGCCATGCCTTTGAAGCTAGAATATACGCAGAAGATCCTAACAACAACTTCATGCCAGGGGCTGGGCCCTTAGTCCATCTCTCTACCCCTCAAGCAGACCTTTCCACCAGAATTGAAACTGGAGTACGGCAAGGTAAAGTAAAATAACACAACAAGTCTTACTCTCTTAGATTTTTTAATGTGTTATTATTATCTCTGGGTCTTGTGACAATTTCTAACATAAAGGATTTAATTGATTTCTTCTTAACCTTAATTTTTCCTTTTGGAATATAGTTACTTTTAAAAAATAACTAATATATATATGAACAGTACACTCTTATTTTGAACTGCAGTAGTACTTGATCAAAACAAAGCAAGAAATATTTTGTGTCTCCTGTTATTTTTTTTTTAAACTTGAATTCTAGTTCCAAATTTGATTTAAGGTGACTAAGACTTAGGTTCAAGACATTCTGCCTTTAAGGGACTTAAGGAGTCAAACTGGGAAATTAAATAAAGAAATAACTGTACAGAAACGATCACAACTAAGCATGTGATTAATGACAATAATCATAACTGTCAATTACATAGTACTTTCTGCGTTCTGAGTGATTATATGAGTTCCTTTGACCACCAGAACTACCTTATGAGTAAGCAGTATGATCATCCCCCTTTTATGGATGAGAACACTAAGGCACAAAGAAGTTAAGTGACTTTCTCAGGGTCCCTCTTGGAGCCAGGATTTATCCCCCGGCCATCTGGCTCCAGAGTCTGTGCACCACTGTCTACTGCCCTCTTCATTTCACAGGCCAGAGAAGTTATGGAGATGGTGAGTGATGGCATATCATTCTTCTCAGGACAAAGAGATTATATGTCAGACTGGGATAATCAGGACGAGTGTTTTAAGAGGAAGGCTTGACTGGTGGTGGATAAGATAAGAGTTGGCAGATAGAAAAGCTTACGAGAAAATGAAGACCCAAGCAAGTTAAAGTTGTGTTCAAAGAACTGTAAGAAAATACATGTGGCTGGAGAAAAAGTTCAGGATGATGAAGAATGAAATTGTGGCTGGAGACATGGTTGAGGGCAAATCATGTAGGGTCTTGAAAGCCAAAATGAGGAATTAGAACTTCTTAATGATAGATTGGACTTCTGGTGTGACACTGTGGATCAGTACTGGACTGGGAACCATAAGGTCGGCAGTTCAAACCCATCACCTACTCCTCAGAAATCCTATACAGGGTCACTAGAGTCGGAACCTACTCGATGGCACTTAACAATGACAATGATAGATTGACATCATTTTGGAATCTCTGGCTAAACCACAAGTTTTAGTTGATAGTTGCTTTTTTTTTTTTTTTTAATAGTAGAAAAGAGGGTATTTGGCAACAGAAAAGAAAGGAACTTGGGTAGCAACTAGAGTTTACAGTGTGATTTAATAATAGTGTTTAAACAATAGCAGAGAGAGAACTCTGAAAAAGACTCCCAGACTCACATTTCAGCACTGGGAGGGTGGGAAGGACAATCTGGTCCAAGAAACCTTCCCCAACTCACCTCTTCTCTGATCCCCGAGTACCTTGTGCTATTTTCAGACATTGTTTTCCTTATACTGTTGTAATCTGTTACTCTTTGTCTAGTTTCCCCATCAGATTGCAAGATTCTTGGAAAGATTAGGCCTTGCTCGAAGTTTAGGCCTAGCAGCTATTCAGTATGTGTTGGTGAGAGACTGGAAGAAGGATACAGAGGGAAGGAGGAGGGAAGAGGAGTGTTATCCAACCCCTTAATTTTATAGATGAACATCCTGAGGTTCACAGAGGTCAAGTGACCTATCCAAATCCCACATACACAAAAAGGTCATAGAACAGTATTTTTTATATAATCTACCACATCTGCTGGACTTAACTCATTCGTAGCCAGCGGAACAACCCATGGTTCTGTTTCTTCTTCTCTCTGACTCTAACCAACCTACCAGTGGTGAGTGGCTCTTTAGGTATGGCACTTGGCCCTTGCCAGTCCTCCCAGCACTCTACAAGATAAAGGAGTTCCTACTTTTATTTTCCCACTGAGGAAACAGGATGCAGAGAGAAGGAAATGCCAAGGGCAGAAGTGAGTGTGATGTGGGAAGGAAGGTGGCGGGAGTTTGCACTGGCTTCCTAAATTGGAAAGGAAAGCTCTTCAGAAGAAGCTAGGACAGGGGAAACGAAAACTAGTCTGTGTCACTGAATCCTCATCTTAGATGGCCAGACCCTCAGTAGACTTTGGGCAAGTTTGTAAATCCCCTCTGAGCCTCTTCATGAAAAAATGGTGAGAATGACTATTGTCTTGCAGGTGTTTATTAAGATTAAATGACATGTATATACAAACTCCCAGCAGAAGGTCTTGCTGGTCACATATGCTCAGTTCTTATTTCATCCCCTTCAGTTCTGACTGGGTGGTTACTGTGGGTTTTCTATTTCAGGAGATGAAGTCTCGGTGCATTATGACCCCATGATTGCGAAGCTGGTCGTCTGGGCTGCTGATCGTCAGGCAGCCTTGACAAGACTGAGGTATAGCCTCCGTCAGTACAATGTGAGTGACCTGGCTCCTGCCATTGACTCGGGGGTTCACTAGATTTCTACAGCCAAATATGCTTGTCACAGTTGCTTAGTCTTTGTGCCTTTGTCAGTGCACTCATGTCAGAAACAAAGTAATTTCACAAGGGGGGATTTGCTATGGGCCAGAAGCAGAGTTCAGGGCTTTTGGATTTCCCTTAGAATTGTTGCAGAAGTACTTGTCATTAAGTGTTGTCGAGTCGGATCTAACTCATAGTGACCCTGTATAGGGTTTCTGAGGAGGTGAGCATTGGTGTGTTTGAACTGATGACCTTGTGATTCAAACTGACTTTGTAGTTCAAACTGACCTTGTGGTCCAGTGTTTATTCTACAGCACCACACCAAGACTAGGGGACTTCAAAATATTCTTGGAAGAAATGGAATTAATAGACGATGGAATTTTTCCATGAATTCCTAAGACTGTCAGGGTCAGTGTTCCATTTCAGTAAAATCTGATGTGAAATTCCTATTCAGTCTATAAATAAGGCCAGCAACAGATGTGTCCCCCACTCGTCTGTCAGTTTGTCATACTGTGGTGACTTGCATGTTACTGTGATTCTGGAAGCTATCCCACAGGTATTTTAAATACTAGCAGGGTCACCCATAGTAGACAGGTTTCTGTTGAGCTTCCAGATGAAGACAGACTACGAAGAAGGAAAGATAGCATTTTTGGAGAAAAAGAGGAAGACCCCCAGCAAGATGGTTTGGCCCAGTGGCAGCAGCAGTGGACTCAGGCATAGCAACAATTGTGAGGTTGTCCCAGGACCGGGCAGTGTTTCGTTCTGTCGAGCATAGGGTTGCTATGAGTCAGTACTGACTCAATAGCACCTAGCGACAACAGAAATGTAGTCTGCAATCTGAGTTTTCATTCTCCGTAAGTAAAGCATTGTCATTCTCCATTAAGTAATTTGATTGTCTTATGAGTTCTGTGATTTCAACCACATTGGCCTTTCGTTGTCATTCTCAGACTCAGCCAGTCTGGAATCATGTCTCCTGCTACCACATCCCCATGTGACTGCAGGGCTCCCTCCTCACTGTCCTCAGCTCAGATGGCACCTCCCCAGACAGCCCCATTCACATCTAGGTCCTTTGCTCTTCTCAGTCCCCTGCCAGCTTTGTTTTCCTCATAGTACCTGACATTATGTTATTGTGTTGTTCGGTGCCATTGAGTTGGTACTGACTCTAAGCAACCCTATGCACAGCAGACCAAATCACTGCCTGGTCCTGCACTAACCTCAGAGTTGCCACTATGCCTGAGCCCATTGCTCCTGCCACTGTGCCAATCCATCTCGTTGGGGGTCTTCCTCATTTTCTCCAACCCTCCAGTTTACCAAACATGGTATCATTACCCAGGGACTGGTCCCTCCTGACAGTATGTCTGAAGTATGATCGAGGAAGTCTGGCCATCCAGGCCTCCAAGGAGCACTCTGGCTGTACTTCTTCCAACCTAGATCTGTTTGTTCTTTTGGCAGCCTATGATACTTTTAATATTCTCCTCCAACACCATAACTCATGTATCAATTCTTCTAAGGTCTTCCTTATTCAGTATCCAACTTTCACATGCATATGCATATGATGTTATTGAAAATACAGTGGCTTGGGTCAGGCGCACCTTAGACCTCAAACTGACATCTTTGCTCTTCAATACTTTAAAGACATCTTATTCAGCAGATTTGCCTAATACAATACATATTTGATTTCTTAATTGCTCATTCCATGAACCTTGTTAGTTGATCTGAGCAAAATAAAATCTTTGACAACTTCAGTCTTTTCTCCATTTATGTGGATATTATTTATTTGTCCAGTGGTTAACATTTTTGTTCATACTAGGTAATTACTTGTTTGTGTGTTTTCTCCATCCCTAGAATGTAAACTCTGTGAGGGCAGGGACTTCATCTGTTCTGTCCCTCACTGTGTCCCCAGTGCCTAAGCCCAGTCTGACCCCTAACCAGTGCTGAGGAAATGACTGTGAAATGATCCAGGGACTCAGGTAGCTGGTTTTATCTTTATTAGGTGGACATCAGTTAATTTTATGTCTTGTTTGTTTTCTTCTTCTTGTTTGTAAAAGTTGAATCTTTGTGTTGGAAGTTCCTGTGAAGTCATGTAAACCTATCCTCTCCCCAGTGTAGCAGTCTTGCCTGCAGTTTGCAGTCTCCCTAGTTTGTGGGCGTGTTCTCAGTGCCAGGTTTCCAGCACCATACAGATGAAGCTCATTGGTACTCCTTCACATTCAGCACTTCCCTAGCCTGAGTCAACTAGATGTCACCACACCAACCACCTGCTCTGATGCTATTTCCTGTGTCTATTTTATCATAGTGAAATTGTTTTAAGTTTCAAATTCAGATGTATAGTAATGTTGTTGTTGTTAAGTGCCGTCAAGTTGATTCCGACCCATAGTGACCCTGTATAGGGTTTCCAAGGGGCAGCTGATGAGCTTGACCCGCTGACCTTGCAGTTCAAATGACTTTGCAGTCTGCTGTACTAACCCACAGCGCCACACCATAGTGGGGTGTTGTTTTTGGTTTTGGTTTCCCTAAAAGTTTGCCTGTCCTTAGTGGAATTTTTGTGGTTTTCCTAAGAGTTGTCCTTGGCAAAAGGTACTTAGTAGAAAGAGCAGATGTCATAGAAATGTTCTTCTGAAGACATTGTTTTCCCCACTCAGGTGGACCTGAGGGTTTTATTTTCTCCCTAGATTGTCGGACTGCACACCAACATTGATTTCTTACTCAGCCTCTCTGGCCATCCTGAGTTTGAAGCTGGAAATGTGCACACTGACTTCATTCCTCAACACCATAGAGAACTGTTTCCCACTCAGAAGGCCACAGCCAAGGAGTTTTTGTGCCAGGCAGCCCTGGGCCTCATCCTCAAGGAGAAAGCTATGACCGATGCTTTCAAACTCCAGGTGCAAGGTATGGAATGTTTTTCTCTGTCCTCTGCTTGCCAAGCTTCTATGAATTTTCATTGAACAGGCTTTTCTTTTTTGTGCCATTTTTGTCCCCCTTTCTTCTTTTGTTGGTTGACATCTTCCTGTGCTGTTGGGTTTTCTAGTTTGAAGAAGACTCTCCACATATCATGGGTGCACCTATGAGCACTTCCTAACTAATCATTAAATGTGAATTAACCATCACCTAACTTTGTAGACATGGGTCTCTTTTCGGCCAACGAGTTCCCCCATTTTGTGCTGATCCCTTCCAACTTCTTTTGCTCACTCTTCCTCGTGCCTACTTTATGGCACCCTCCGACCCTGCAGCAGCTTCCTTGGTCCCAGGCACTAGAGATAACAGCACTAGAGAGTCAGAAGCCCTTGAATTCGCCATAATTTATAACTGAGTTATTCCCTACTCTCATTCCCCCAACATCTTTTCTCATCTTATGATTGAACTTAGTGGTGGTGATGGCGGTTATGTGCCATGGAGTCAGTTCCTTACCTGAGCAACCCTGCATAGGATTTCTGAGGCTTTCAGTTTTTATGGGAACAGGAAGCCTTGTCTTTCTTCTGGGGAGTGGCCAATAGATTCATACTGCTGACTTTGTGGTTAGCAGCCCCACTCATAACCCACTAGGCTACTAGAGCTCCACAGAGACCTGGGTACTTTCTGGTTATCATCAGATCTGAGTATAGGAAGAACAATAGTAAGTATTCTACCTGGCTACTAGGTAGCTGCATTGCCCATCCAGCATCCCCACTCAGTTGTTGCCCAGCCTCTTCCTAACAGCTCAGGAAGCTGGAAGTTCATTACTTCATCATAGTTTAGGTCCACTCTCCATTAGAAAGTTCCTCCCTTTAAATTGAGCCAAAATTTGAGCTCTCCTGAACTTGCTCCATAATATATTTGGTGGCTGTTATTAGTAACCATTAAGTCAATTCCAACTCAGGGTACTCGGTATGTGTCAGAATAGAACTGCCCCATTGGATCCTCAAGGCTGTGACCTTTTCACAAGCAGACCACTAGACCCGTCTTCCAAGATGCCTCTGGGTGGGTTTGAACCACCAACCTTTTGGCTAGTCATTGAGCACTTAACCATTTGTTATATGAGTCCCTGCCCAGGGACTCATATAATTATATTTACTCAGGTCAGTCCTGACCTTTGGTTGAAGCAAACAGAAGAGAAAACAATAATAACAGTAAATCCCTTTATTATCGGGAGTCTTTATTTTCTTAATTCATTCAACAGAGCATTATTGAAAGCTTCAAATGTACAAATACATTTTATCCTCCTACATGAAATGAAATGCATCTAAATGTGCCCCGTGTGGTATTGCTGAGCCTGAACTTAACCATTTTTTAGAACAGAGTGTCCTCTTACTCTAACCTGCTTTTATCTAAATGTATATAACATGCACAGATAGGAGCTTCAGGATAGATTACTTCAACTTAGCTCCTGGTTATTGTCCTAGAGAGACTCTATACCCAAAAAACCTACAGGGGCTAACTAAGAATGTGAAATGTTAATGCAAAATCTCTCTCACTCGTGCTTTTTTTTTTTTTCTTTCACCAGGAATAATAGAGTTTTGGTGAATGAAAAAGAACAAGTGAGAGAGATTTTGCATTTTCCATTCAAAAGAGGTGGCCACTGTGCAAGAGGGTGAGAGTTGAGGTTTCAGTTATTCTGATTTTTCAAAAGAAGCTTAAGATTTTTCATGTAGAATTTCCTGAGATCTGAATGAAAGTATCTAAATTTAAAATAAGGAAAAAAACAGAAAACACATTTCAGCTGCCAGATTAGGTTCCTTGTTTTATGTTTTCTTTTTGCAAGTTAGAAATTTAGTAGGTTTGATGTGTGTAAATTTGTTGTTGAATTTTACATTTTTTTTTTCTAGATCAATTCTCTCCATTCACATCTAGCAGTGGAAGAAGATTGAATATCTGTTACACCAGAAACATGACCCTTAGAGATGGGAAAAACAGTAAGTAATGTTTTATTTACAGAGAAATATGATTCAGAGAATTGGATGGGACAAAAAGAAGATTTAGCATGATAATAATCAGTCAGTTACATTTTTTAAAATTATCTAGCCTAAACATTGGAAAGAAATACACCAAAATAACAGAATTGGTTAATCTGTGTGGTATTGTTAATGGAGGGTTTTTTTTCTTTATTTATACTTTTTCTGTAGTTCATAAATATTCTAAAACTATGTTATGACACATACAAAGAAATAAGTCTGAACTAAACTATGTCATTGTTAGGGTAGTTACTACTAGGTAATGGGCTTTGAGACAATCTTTTTTTCTCCTCTTGCTTTTTACTTTGCTTTACAGTTTGTCTATAACCAGAAGCTATTAGTTTTAAATAAGAAGGAAATAATATATATATATATGTATAATCCAAAACTATCATAGAGGAAGGATTACCCCCAGCTCAGGCAGTGCTTCATGTGGAAGTGGGTGACGAAGGAGCTGTGATTCATTACGTACCTTGTCACATGTGAATTTTTATCGTCACAACAACGTTAATGAGAGGAGTTCACTGCTAGCCCCACATGTGGATGATGAAACTGAGGCTTAGGAAATGAAGTCTCTTACTCAAGGCCGGTAGGTGATAGACAGGGATGGACACCCACTCTTTTTGACCATGACTTCCATGCTGTTTCCATCAGTTTTTCAGATGAAAAAATTCCTTTTTTAAAAACTTTTCATGTGAATTGAATGAGGCGTTACAGACAGGAGCATCAGTTTTACATTCAACAAATCATACACTTTGTTTCACCTCATTGATTACAATCCCCTCCCTGCAGGAAGTTATTCTACTTCCTGCCTGTGGTTCCTGTTTCCACTGAACCTCCCTTTCCATCCCTTTTCAAATTTGTCGTTTCATACACGTTGCCCTTTTGGTTTTGAATGATTGACCAGTTAACTATTCAAAATAAGCATGCATGACCAGTGTTGTTGTGCCCCTTATACACACCTACCTACTTTGGTAGCGTAGTGGTTGTGTGTCGGGCTGCTAACCTCAAGGTCAGCAGCTTGAAACTACCAGTGGTTCCACGGGAGAAAGATGAGGCTTTCTGCTCCCATAAAGATATAAAGCCTTGGAAATCCTATGCAGGATCACTATGGGTTGGAACCAACTCCACGGCACATAACCACCAGCACTGGTGCTTGGCCGAATGTTGGCTCACAAGAGAGAGTTCCTTTCTATACCTGAAGGGAATAGTCAAGGACTATAGTCTCAGATTCCTCCAGTCTCCTTCTGAGCAGTAAGACTCATCTTTTTTCCTGAGTTTTGTTCTACATATTCTGCCTCTCTACATGGAACCTTCTAATGTGAGATCTCTTTCAGAGCAGTTGGTAGTAGTAGCTGGGTACCATCTAATTCTTCTGGTCTCCAAGTCATGGAGACTGATGTTCACATGTTGCATTAGTCTGATGGACTAATTGCTTCCAAGCATCTTCAGTTCTCATAACTCTTCTTTCTTCTGAGACCAATAGCTGCTCATGAGCTTTTAATTTCCCAGATACTATTAACCAGGTAGGATGTAGAACATTGCCTTTGTGGGCAAAAAATATATCCTTGACTGCAAATTAATTTGAGTAGGCTCAGGATAGGGGCTGATGTATTTTCACTGAAATCAGAAAAGGCAGCTTATTCAATTATAGCTGTCCCATTGTACCAGAGGGACCAGATTCCTGTGAGAGCTGGTGACTGTGTCCCTTTCTCTGCAGGACAGTTTGCATAGGAATCAAGGTGGATAGAGTCAGAGCTGAAAGTGCTTGTAACTTGCATGTGAGGCATCATTATTAAACTCTATAATGTGCAAACCAGGTAGAAAGGCATTCTCCTGCCAGCTGACCTGAGCACCCTCAGCCCTGGGCAGAGTAGGGTTTTCTTGATCTCAATTCTATATAGATTTCCACTCATTTTGTTAACACATTCCTTGTATGTAGAAGCTGATTAGGTTACAGTTCTTTAGTTCTTTTTCCATCCTGAGCCTAGATGGCCATTAGACAAACTTTCTCTTCTATAGTAGCATTCTATAATGGTTCACCCATTCATTTTATACTGATTTGCTTACTCATTTCATTCCAGGAAAACAGCCTCCAAAATATCTGGTTGCCTTACTCTAGACTTCTCTTACATTCTGAGTACAAGTACCAGGAGCAGTAAAATTATGGGCCTCGTCAATGTAAATTAAGCATAATCACATCTATGATTGTAGTTCAGATGAGCAACTTCTTTCTTTGTCATGGGTCTTCTCTATGAAACCAAGCAGTGTTTTGAGTCATGCTGCATTTTTTGGAGTTGTTTTTTGTTTTTGTTTTTTAAGTTAAGTTTTAGGTAAAGAACAAATAAAGACATAATTGAGAAACAAACATATTGCTGTTTGAGACACCTTTTGACAATATTCTATGCAAAGAATCCAGTTCTGAATGCATTTTAGCAATGTTTGGTAGTCTCTTAAAAATGCTGATCAGTAGTGACCCATGGTTGAATAAGAAGAGTTCACCCAACAGGAAGCCCAAGGGCCCAGAAGCATTTATGAATCTGATGTTCAACCAACTTTTAATAATCTCAGTGAGGACCAGGTATTTTAAATACTCAAGACTGGAAATGTACTCTACTTTGACACTAATGGCCATGTTTTACAGCCTTGTGTTTTTCTAGTCCATGCTAATGAGATAGGTCTTATTCTTAGTGACAACTTTATAACTGGGGAAACCAAGGCTTAGAGAAATTAGTAATTTTCCAAGAGTCACATCAAAAGTAATTGGTGGTGTCAGTAGTCAAGCCTATGCTCCATCGTTTATGACAGGGGTGGGGAAAGTTCGGCTCACATAAGGCCCATGAAATGATTTGGTCTGGCTCTGCCAAGGCAATCACAGTTCTAGCCATCACATTAGGGCTGAGTTAATCAAATGTTTGACCAAATACAGCAAACTCATTTTTTAAAGTTGTATGGCCCATAAATGATGTTATAAATTTTAGCCGAAAAATGGTTACCCACCCCTGGTTCATATGCTCAATTAGCACAAGCACTATGCCAAATTTCCATTCCTGTCTTCCATAAAATACATAAGAGGAAGTTTAAGGTTCTCTTGTGAGAGATAAGAAATATGTAGGGAGAAGAAAAACAAATCCATTGCCCTGTAATGGCTATATCTTTATTACGATTCTACTGGCAGTCATATGTCAGTCAAATATTTTATATGTTTTATAAATGTGGAAAAACTGGAGACCTCCTCTTCTGGGAAGAATTAAAGATGGTTGACAATATAGGATGGAAGACTTCATACATTCAGTACAAAGCTTTTGAAAATATGGGTATGCTGAGTGGTGTAGCGAAGAGATTTTAAAAATGTCTTTGTCCTTGTTTTTTCTCTCAAGAAATGTATCATTTGACAAAGGAGAAATGTGTAGTTTGAAGATTGAAAAGACTGTGGGTTCAGATCTTGATGCTCCTCCTCTCTGGGACTCTTGAACAAGTCTTTCTAATCTCTAAGCATCAAGTGTCCTCCTTGACTATAAATGGGGGTGGTAGTAATAATTACTTCCTGGGAATTAAATGAGACAACACATATAAAACATTCAGCACACTATATAGCACGTAGTTAGCAGTCAATAAATGTTAACTATCATCATCACAATTAAATTATATCCCCTTACAGCTATTGAGGGGTCCTGGTGTGGTGCTATACTAGATTGCTAGCTGCAGGTCAATGGTTCAAACCCATCAGCCACTCCTCAGAATGAGTCAGATTGACTTTACGACACTTAACAACAGCTGTTGAAAAAACAAGTAGTTCTATACAAGGGAACTTCAGAAGTTAATGAAAAAAATTCCATTATCTTTTCATTCCATGGCACATGTTAATTTTTAAAAAGTTGGTTGCAAAGCAATATATATAACATAATCCTGTTTTTATAAAGGAATAATATGTGTTTCGATGTGCATTTAAAAAGTCCGAATAAGGATTTAATACCCAGAATGTATAAAGAACTCATACAACTTAACAATAGAAAGACAAGCAACCCAATCAAACAATGGCAGAGGATTTCAATATACGTTTCACTATAGAAGAAATGCAAATTGTCACTAAGTACATGAAAAGATGTTCAACATCATTAGTCATTAGGGGAATGCAAATCAAACTATATTGAGATATAACTTCATGCCCACTAAAATGGTTACGATTAAAAGAAAACAACAGGTGTTGGCGAGGATTTGGAGGAATTGGAGCCCTCACTCTTGCTGGTGGGACTGTAAAATGTTATATCCATTGTGGAACACAGTTTAGCAATGCTTCCAAAAGCTAAACACAGAACTGACGTATAATCCTGCATTATGCCCAAGATGATTGAAAGCAGGGATCCAGATAGAAACTGTACACCAATGTTCATTCCAGCACTATTCACAAGAGGCAGTTCATCAACAGAGGAATGAATCAATAAAATGTAGTATATACATACAATGGAGTATCACTCTGCCATAAAGAGAAATGAAGTCCTGGTACTTGCTACAACACGGACGAGAAGCATTATGACTAGTAAAATAAGTCAGTCACCAAAGGACAAATATGATCTGATCCTATTTATATAAAACATCGAGATTAAACAAGTATATATAGACCAAAGTTTATTAGTGATTACCAGGGGTGGGTGAGAAGGAAGTCATTATGGAGGGGACACATAGCTTTTATTAAAGGTGATGGAGAAACTTGGAAATGGGTAATGGTGATAACTGAACAACATGGAGAACATAGTTTAATGTCGTTGAATTGTGCACATGAAGTATATTGAGATGCAAGATGATTTAATACAAATGTATTGACCACAACTAAAAAATAAAAGGATTGAAAAGGAGTTACACACTAAAGTACTAGTCGTAGTTACCCCTGAGCCTTCCATTTTTACTTGACATGCTTCGTTTCTGACTTCTATGAGTATTTTCACTTTTGTCATTTAAAATACAAAAAACGTCTTTAATATAAAACAAGGTCATACACCAGAGATGGAGACAGAGATGAGGACTTAGAGAGATAGAGCAGCTGAGGACTCTAGGCTCATGGAAAGAGAAAGGCTGTGTGCTGGCGGCCAGAAGGCAGGCTTGTAGAATGTGCCCTTTGGTTGTTTAAATAATTATATATTCCTAAATGTTTTTGTGTACATCCAAAACAAAAAAACAGAGGTAAAGAAGTAAATACTGTTGAATGATGATGCACAAAGAGGATTATAATCATTGTAATGAATGAAATACGATAGAATGAGTGCAAAACCGATGTTCTCCCATGTAAACTATCACTTGGTTCACAAAAACTTAAAAAAAAAAAGATGGGGAAATTATAATGTGTCTTATATCCAGAGGAAGGAGAATTTGCTTTGTTGAGGCAGATTCTTCCCAAGAAAGAGGGAGCAGGATGTATCCGGAAGGAGGAGAAATATTTCAGTTGCTGTGGATGGGGACCAGTGAAGGGAAATCTAGAGCAGTTAATTAGGAATGTTGATTGGTCTGTTTTCTCATTTAGCTGGAGCCTGGAATCATGAAGGGAGATGGTGAGAAATAAGACTGGGTGGTTGGGGGTCTTAGTACCTGGCCAAGTATGCTGATTGTGATGGAGAAGGCAGTCAAGCATGGAAGAAAGCTTCAGCTGGTAGGTTGGAGATAGGAAGCAGGAAAGCCTTGGAGTACCTCATCAGGCAGTGAGACCTGAGTCAGGGTGGAGTAGTGGGAATGAAAAGGGCAGGTAGTCAAAGGGCAGAATTTGACAGCTCTTTGGTGACTCCTGGATATGGAAAACAAAGGCAGAAGAAGAGGAAGCAAGAATGACAGGCTATAAGTCTACGTAACCAGAATAATACCTGTGCCAGTTGTGGAAATCCCAGCTCAGGAGGGGAAGCAGGTAGAGGGATAGATGATTTGGTGGACCCACTGTGTTCATGTTAAGGTGCCATGGATCATCTAGCTGGGAATGACTTGGAATTCTGGAGAAGGAAGGTCAGGGCTGCAAACAGATTTGAGCTGGCAGCGTCTAAATGATGGATGAAGTGTCAGGAGACGATGAAATGATTTCCAATGAAGCTTTTGATTTCCATGTTCAAGGTTCCCTGGGTACCACAACCTATTCCATATTCACTGGGAATAACATGAGTAATTGGTTATATTTATAGTCTGTTACTGTTTATACAGCACTTTTACAGTTGATGTTAAGTGTTGTGTCAATTCTAAGTCATAGTGACCGTGTATGGGGTTTCTGAGGCCATCATTGTTACATACACATTCCATTTAGTGACTCAGAGGATTTCAAAGACTAGTCAAGATCACTAGTCAAGAAGCAAATCTTGTTACCGATAGCAGATTTTTGTCTTCAACCAGAACTTCTCTTTATCCTATTCTTTACTGTTTTTCTTGAGGCAGTAATTTGTAACATATTCTGCAACCGTAAAATACCTAAAATTCTGTTTTTACAAAAGAAACATTTGAAATTCACCCTTGTTGAAACCTGCTTGTTATATATTTAAACAAAAAGTCTCTATATCCAGAGAGTTAAGAGATGTTGACTTTCCTATGAACAACTGGATATCTCTAGATTGAAAGTGAGATTTCTTTGTGGAATTTGTTATTGAATCAATAAATGTCTTCTAATTTTTCTTTAATTTTTTCACCTTTTTTTTTTGGAAAGATGTAGCCATAGCTGTAACATATAACCACGATGGGTCATATAGCATGCAGGTAAGCTCTATTGGTTTTATTATAAAGTTCAGAACTAAATCTAATCTCTCTCATACGAAGTAGGATCTTTTTTCACTTTGTGGTTTCTGTTAAGTCATTGATGATTATGGCCGTAGTTAAGTAAATGTCTTGTGCTTTTGTTTCAGAACGGTTTGGGGAAATTACCTCTTATATAGTTTCTAACTCAGTGTGACTTACTCTGTGATTCCCTTAAGAATAAGCACTGGAAAGCCAACTGCAAGGTTGGCAGGCAGTTCAGACCCACCAGCTGCGTGTTGGTAACCCTATACAGGGTTGCTACCGAGTCAGAACCAACTCGACAGCACTGAACAACAATAAACAAGTCACTGGAGTATGTGTGTGAACTTATACCTAAAGCAGTAATTCTCAAACATTTTGATCTCGGGACTCCTTTAACTCTTAAAAATTATTGACATTCAAGTTAGCCTTTGTTTATGCAAATTACAGATATTAATATTTGCAATATTAGAAAATTAAGCTAAAAAATTATAAAGTATAAGACTATACAAACACATAATCTTGTTAAACATTAGGCAATAACAATGCCACATATCCTGTATTTCTAGGAAATTCCATTGAACATGCATGAGAGAATGGGGCTTAAAAGGCAAATAGCATCTTATTATTATGAAAATACTTAGGATTTCATGGGCCCTTAAAGCATCTACAGATCATGCTTTGAGAACTTCTGGTCTGAACTTTTATGATATCCTTCAATTAAAAGAAGTTATTATACTGATAAAATGAAATACTAAAAAGGCTAAAACACAGTATAGGAATTCAACCTAATTCTCTGAGTAAGGTACAAATTCAGGGACAAGAATAAATCATTTTTTATATGAGCTTACAATTCAAATCCTGCAAAATGAGTTTATTAGTGATATACTCTAGACCTCCCAAAATTTTGAGACACATTAGGAATCTTTCTCTGCAATTCAGTAAAACGAATGGAAGTCAACCAACTTTAGCTTGTGAGAGTTTAATTCATATTGGTTTCTCTGGTTTGAAGATCCCTTTTTTGTTCCTTGGCAAATGGTAAAGTCAGTGGCAGATTTGTTTTAATCTGCTGATGGGATTCATTCACAAATGTACACTGTGCTTTTTATAAACCTCAACACAAAACTGTTCCCAATCCAACCTTTATGTCCTGAGAAAGCCACAAACTTTCTGGTGGCTATTCTAGTCGGTTACAAAGAAGAGTAAATGTCATATTGAATTTATCGATGAGCTACCCAGAGTATAAATATCGCTGTGTGTATCCTATGTCCCCTTGGTTTACATAATCGAAAAGAATGACCACAGGGCTTCTACATCATAGGAATTGAAATGGACAAAATAGAGGAGGTATGTGTGAGAGATTTTTTTTTTCTTGAGTGTATATGTCAGAAAGCATTCCTTACAAGGGAAAGATGTCTTTGAAAGGTTAAATGTGAAATCTGTTCTTCGGCACTCTGTTTGCTAAAGTGAGAAGGGGAAAAAAAAAATTTGGTCCATCTCCAGCTAATTTATTTTTCAAACTGAAAGTCAGTAAATTAGATCATGTTGGTGAGATATAAGAAATACCATCTAATTATTTGTTTCTGACTTTAGCACAGGAAAACCAAATTGGACTTTGAGTACTCAGAGATGAGTACTAATATGTAATATATTCTTCTAAGTGTTAAGTTAACCATTTTCCCTAACTTTAGTTGTATTTTTTAATTTCACGTTTTTGATTGCTGGTTTTTCCTATTAGTCAATGACTTTTATGTATAAATAAAATGGATCTCTTATGTCACTAATGTTTTCTTTTAATTATCTTATAGGTGTTTCTACCTGGGGTGTTTCATTTAGGGATCATAGGGGAAAGTTTCTATGTGACTTTTTATTTTTAATATTTTGCATGTTGCCTCTTGAAACTAGTAAGAATAGTGAAGAATTGATTCAGATTTTATGAATTCTCATTTATTTTGAGTGTCATACTTTTCTGTTTTCAGATTGACGATAAGACTTTCCAAGTCCTTGGTGCCCTGTCCAGTGAGGGAGATTGCACCTTCCTGCAGTGTTCTGTTAACGGAGCAGCTAGTCGGGCTAAGCTCATAATCCTGGGAAACACGATTTACCTGTTTTCTATGGTGATGTCTCTTCCTTATGATACCACTGTTGGGGTTTGGGAGATACTGATTTGACCTGGCTCTTTCCACTGAAAGATATGAGAAGGACCCAGTTTCCTTTGGGTACTACTGTGCCCTTTGCTCCCTCAGTTTCCCTCTCCACTCTGTTGCGTTGCCACATTCCTCCCTTTTCTGTTTCCCCATTTACCCCTTTAATTCATAGAGATGCTCATTGACGTACCACATACACGTTTTCTTTTCATTCTGAAGCATGTCCTCACACCCTGTTTGTCAGAGTGTCTCCCATGCCTATTGGAGGGTACCCTCTCAAGAGTTTCGCTGCCTGAACACTTTTCTACAACCACCACCCTCCTGACACTAGGGATCCTGGGGATTTGGGAAGAAGTGACCACTGGAAGTGTGAACCAGATGTTTCGTATGAGTTGGTGGTAATCTCTTGGCAGTCAAAAAAAGATCCAGGCAGGCTTTGTGTATGTTTGAGTAGGAGCTTGTTTAGTAACCTGTTGGCTTTCAGTGAGGAATCTACTCAACCAATCCGTAGCATTCTGCATGGGCAGAAGAAGAGTGGCTTATTAAATACACTGTGGCCTTTTTGGATTCGTCTCACATTAGGGGACTGCTTTGTGATGAGATGTAGTTAAGCTACTTTATATGGAGTCTAGGATGACCCCACTTTATAAGAAATTCCTTCCCATTGTCAATTATGCTCTAACAATATGATGGTAGGTTCTAGCTGATAGCAAACCTACAGAACAGAGTAGAATTACTCCATAATGTCTCCAAGGATGTAATCTTTACAGAAGCAGACTACTTTATCTCCTTACTCTGCATTGGCTGGTAGATTTGAACCACTGACCTTTTGGTTAGCAGTTGAACCCTTTAACCACTGCACCACCAGGGCTGCTTAGAGGCAGTATAGTGGAGTGGCAAAGAACAAATCCAGGTCCTGCTATTCATCAGTTGTGTGGCCTTGGGCCTGTGAAACTCTCTGTGCTTTATTTCCCCCATCTGTTAACTGGGACAGTCACGGTATGTACCTCACAGGGATGTTGATGATTAAATGACATGATGTGTTTAAGTGTTGGGAGTCGTAGTGTGGCACTGTAGGGTAAACAAGGTCAGCGGTTCAAACCTTCAAAAACCCTACACAGGGTCACTGTGAGTCAAAACTGACTCAGTAACACTTAACATGTGAGTGTTAAGAATAATTCCTGGCAGACCGAGCACATGGCAGATGACCACCTCGTTGTGGTGTTAATATTATGGATCATGAGGGAAGGGTTGGAGCAGACTCTAGGGCACTTAACAACAACTATATACATGACTTCTAGCAGTGGGCTGCATGTTGCATTCAGTAATACAATCAGTCCCAGATTACAAACGGGTTCTGTTCCTAAATCTGTCTTTAAGTCGAGTCTGTATATAAGTCAGAACAGTTACATCAATTAAATGTTTGTCTTAGTATATAGTGTACCTTCTTACTGCATAAAAGCATTAAGGAAACACTTCCAGATGCACTGCAACATCTTTAGCATACTAATACAGTAATAATGCTTTGCTTTGAGTCACAAAGTAGCACTCATTGTTATTACAAACCATTGTAGGTACCTTCAGTTTTCAGTATAATACGTTTTATGGGGGTTTTATGGGGATCGGAGGGGTTGGTTGGTAACTACAGGATGTACGTAAGTCTGATGTTCATAACACAAAGTCTACTGTGCACAGCAGAGGTATGTACTTTACAGATTCTTTTACAATGGGAAACCAAGACTGAGACTGATTTAGTAATCTGCTCAAGGTCACAAAGCTAGATTCAAATCCTGGTGTTGCAGATGGTTCATGCGCTTGGCTTCTAACCAAATGGTTGGAACTTCAAGTCTACCCAGACATCTCTCAGAAGAAAGGCCTACCATCTACTTCTGAAAATATCAGCCATTGAAAACCCTTTGGAGCACACTTCTACTCAGACAGACATGGATTTGCCATGAGTCAAAGTAACTCAGCAGCATCTGTTTTATGTGTGTGTGTTTTAAAAAAAAATATTTAATAAACCATTTGAACGTAATCATTACCTCAGATGTACTAGTAAAAATGCAGTGATAGGATCTTGATTCCATGGTAGGTGTGTTTTCTGCTCCTAGGAAGGAAATGTTCAGATTGACATTCCAGTACCCAAATACTTGTCTTCAGTGAGCTCTCAAGGAACACAAGGAGGTACCATAGCTCCCATGACTGGAACTGTTGAAAAGGTAATCACATTACATGTAGAATAATATCCACTCTGATTTAATAAACGTCTATGTTGAATTTTGTCATATAGATCCTTTTTCCCTCCCTTAATTTACTCCTGGCAAAGCATCCATTCCTAGAAAAAAAAAGAGGATCTTTTCTAGAATCACAATTGTCAATGAAAAGACCAGTTTTTAAAGCCTGCTGTTTTTGAAGGTGGGAATTTTCATCATGTTAACAAATAATCCAAATTGCTTAAAATGTAGCACTTACCTACTGGTATCTAAAAGGGCGGAGTTTTTGCTCTTTTTTTTTTTTTGTTAATTTAGCAGCAAATTATTTTACCATAAAATAATGTTTTCTCTAATGTACAGAATTACTCTGTTAAAATTTGAAAGGCCTGTTTTAGTAACGAACTGCATGATTTGGTTTGGGATGTAGTATATATTCAATGTTGAGATCCATACTGGTATAATTTTAAATGTTGATAGCTCAGTAGTTCCCTTTTGTATTCTTAAGTACAGTAGTCAGATGCATGTCTTAAAAATTCACTTATATAATCTTGTTACCAAAAAAACAAAGCAGTGGGAGATAACTATTTTAAAGAATCCAGGCAGCATCACCACTATTGCCCTCTTGGAATATTTGTCCCAGAAGGGTATGGGATAGGAGGCCTGGGTCTACTTTGGGTTTGTTCAGTCTCCGCTCCCACTGACCTCCCCTCCTAGTATGGGCATCTCTGCACAGCATAGTGGTCTTAACGGTTAAAGGTGAAATTTCCCCCTTAACTGGCCCTTAAGCCCAGGCCATTGATTTCATCTGGTGCTCCTAAAGCACTACCCAGCATTGGGTAATTTGCAGGGGCTTTCATGGGTACAATTGTGGCTCTACACATGGACTTTAAAACCTAACTCTCAGGGCAGGGAGCAACATGTTGGCTGAGCACAGGCCAAAGTTAACCAAGAACCTGTTGCACATGAAGTTCACGCAAAGGGGACTAGACTCAGAAACCAAGGAGCAGCTGGAAGAAGAAAAAAAGAAAATCGTCAGCGAAGAGCACTGGTACTTGGATTTTCCAGAGCTGAAAGAGGAGAGCGTCATAATCAAAGGGCAGAACTTCTCATTATGTGAAGACCTTCTCTACGGAAAAATGTTGTTCAGAGGATTTAATCCTGGGGTTGAGAAATGAATGCTTCACATGAACTCTTTACGAATAAAGCTAAAGAAGTTGAAGATGAAACAGTGGAACTTGATGTGTCCAAGGAAGAAATGGCTGAAAGATATGAAAGCCTGGTGGGGACAATTGGAAAAAAGTTTGCCAAAAAGAGATTGTGACAATTATGAAGAAGATAAAATTGGAACATGAAAAGACCAAGACAAATAAGGTGTTCTTAAAACCCCAAGATTAAAATGAAGTCCTTATGAAAGATAGCTGCACATTGTGGAACTTAACTCTTAACTGTTTCTCTAGTTTTTGATGATGCATATTTGTAAACTAGTGCATGATTTTGGAAAATGCTGTCTCAGAAACAGTTGTGTGATGGATGTTATACATCCTTTGCTTTAATGGTGTTCATCAGGAAGGGGTATTCTGCCCTTGATCTTCAAATGTACAAAGTTACATGGTGACTTCTACAGATCTTTTGACCTTAGATTTTAAAAATATAGTATATGTCCCTGGTCTTCAATAAATTAATATCATTGTTTAAGAAACAAAACAAAAAATTAATTCTGCTATAGGATGTAATGTCTCCAAAAACTCCTTTGGCAACCATGTTAACCAATAAGATCATGAGACCGTATGGAATAATACATATAAGTTCATTTATATATGCAAAGAAAAAAATAGGTTTTTCTGAGATTGCCAGTAAGTTTTGTTCTCTCACATGAAGATTCTCTAGCCATTTACTGCACTGGGCCTTGAAGATTTGAAACACTGTCCTAGACAACACAAAAATTAGGAAACCAGTCAAGAGCCTTATCCCTTTACTCTGCCAATAGTGGAAACATTTCAATAAACCAAACCAAAACCACTGCTGTCAAGTCAGTTCTCATAGCCACCCCATAGGACAGAGCAGACGGCCTCGTAGTTCTCCACAGAGCAGCTGGTGGGTTCAAACCACTGACCTTTCAGTTAGCAGCCCAGCTCCTTCCCTATTGGCAGTGTATCTTGTCTGTGTTTTCGTGAAAAATCCAAAAGGTCCCGAGATATATTAAAACATGTTCATCTGATTCGAGCAAAATTAGATGGTTTGGAGGATGGGAATGGGAAGCTGAGTAGTGCTCTGCCTGCTATGCCAGATTCGTCTTTAGCAGGCTCATGCTCATGATTCTGTGTACATTTACATACCAGCTCTGTGGACCACAAAGGACCTGTTTTTAAATACATATCTCTCTGAATCCCTAGGTGTTTGTGAAAGTTGGAGACAGAGTAAAGGCTGGAGATTCTCTCATGGTTATGATTGCCATGAAAATGGAGGTAAGTGAATTCACACGTTCAGTTGCTGAGTAAACAGGGAGCTTTGGGATCTATGTGTCCTTTTGACTTGATTCCATGTTAAGAACATTCTAAATATTAAGTGGATTACGAGCTGGGCTGATAACTGAAAGGTCAGCAGTTTGAATCTACCAGCCACTCCAAGGGAGAAAGATGAGGCTTTCTGCTCCCATAAAGATTTTTAACCTCAGAAACCCTAGACAAGGTTGCTGCAAATCAGAACCGACTCCGTGGCACACAACCACCACCACACCACCACCATGGCATGATTAAACATTATCTAAAGGAAACAAAACCAACCCATTCTTTTTGAAAACACATTTTCATTTTGTGAACTTGCACCATTATACCTATTATTTCTGATTCTGAAGTTGCCGGTAGTTTGGAATCAGACAGTAGCCCAACGTTAACTATTGGTATTTTCTAGGACTGAATTTAGGATGCCAGGCATCAACCCAAACCAAACCTGTTGTCATCAAGTCGATTTCGACTCATAGCAAATTCTACTCACAGGACAGAGTATATAACTGCCCCACAGGGTTCCCAAAGCTATAGTCCTTACAGAAGCAGGCTGCTACATCTTCCCTCTGAGCAGCGTTAGAGGCTGAATACTTTAACAGCTGTACCTTCAGGTAAAAAACCTCAATCAAATGAAATCACCTGCATACAGTTTTAGATTATTTGATTATGTAGATCGGTGGGTCTCCTTCCTGACTGCAGTCACCTGGGGAACTTTACAAACCTACTTCCTCAGACACTTACGTTGAAATCTCTGAGAGTGGGCCTCAGGAGTCAGTATTTGTAAAAAGCTGTGCAAGTGAGACTTTACTGTGAAGTTTGCGTTGAGAACTGGCTGACTAGACCAGAGCTTCCCACCCAGTGCGCTGTGAATGGGTTGCCGGTGTGCGCCTTGGCACTGCTTCCTTTCAGCCTCTGAACACGCCATAAAATGGTAAGTTTTCTGTGTGTGCAATAATACAAAAAAAATTTAGGAAACATTGATGAACTACAAAACATCGAAACAGTGGGCCACGATTTTCGCTTTTTGCTTGACATTCTTGTATAGAAAATACTTAGTCGTTGTTAGCATTGCAACCACTGCATCTTTCTTTGTCTCTGCAGCATACTATAAAAGCTCCAAAGGATGGCACAATAAAGAAAATTTTCTACAAAGAAGGCTCTCAGGCCAACAGACACGCTCCTCTAGTTGAGTTTGATGAAGAGGAATCTAACAAAAGAGACTCAGACTAAATGCCATTAAAGAAATGGCCAATGACGCTGTATCTTCTCTCCAAACCACAAAAGAAAAGTGCCTTTCCACTCCTCTGGGGTCTAATATACTAAGTGATTGCTTAATTATATTAAATGATTGTACTAAAGCCATTTCTTATCTTGAGAATCATGTACTTGGGTGACAAATA